TAATTAAGCTCCACATAGTTAAGTAACTTGCCAACTATCTAGCTAACTGGTCTATCTAGCATCAAAGTCCAACCTTTCTTTTATTTACTGCTATGGTTATGCCTGAAATGACTGATTACCAGAATTCAAAAATAAAGAGATCTTCTGAAAACTGAACCCAACAAGAGAATACATAAATAAATGAGAATGGGGGGAAACAAAGTTAATGTGAACATAAATGAACTGAACTGTCTTCCAGATAACACAGCCACAAGGGGGCAAAGGGGGACAAAATCCAAGGAACTGTATGCTATTAGACCAAAGGAAAAAGGTACTGCAAACCAATCTTGAAGTCTTATTACATATTTGCTTTTCACAGTAGTATGGTATAAAATTCTTAAATTGTTTTATGTGTTGCAGAAGTGAAAATGAGAACAGTTTACTCGTCTTTTGGGGACTTAGCGTCTACCTATAGAAGACATGGAGATGAAAATATGGAATTGGTGAAGGCAAAGATGACAGCTTGAATTGGACTGAATTTGGAGGTATCAACAAAAACTCGCTGTCCAGATTAAACATGCTAATGTTATTTTCCTCCCTAGCTGAAAGAATGATATTCAGGACAAGTCACTGTGGTTCAGGACAAGCTGCTACCATGTTGCAGCTGTTCTGCTGTCTTATCTGTGTCCAGAGCTCTGTAACAATAAGCACATCTAGGACTTAGATTCCCATTTTGCAACACTCTAGGAAAAATTGATTCAGGCAAAAATTGTCAGTGATTATTAAATCTACAGGGAGTGCTAAAGACAAGAGAATGTTTACACCATTTTAAAGTATCTCCTCATAAAGTGACTATTAATTATAAAAGGAAATATTCTAAATATACAGTAGGAAAGCTGGACAACACCATAATCAAGTGATCAAAATTACTTTTACCAAAAGGTAATACCCTGAGATGGACATACCCACCAACGTGGTATACTAACCAAATACGCTTATCTTGAATCTACTCATGAGGAAATGGACAAACTCAAACTGAGAAACACTCTATAAAATAAATGGCCAGTTTTCTTAAAAAAAAAGTGGCAATGGCATAAAAGGCTGAGACTCTATACTAAAAGATATTAACCAAAGAAAGTGACAACTACATGCAATGTCTGACCCTAGGTCAGAACTTGTATAAGAAAAATTGCTATAAGAAACAATATTAAGACCACTGACAAAATTAGAAAGCTGACTACAGGTCAAAGTTTAAAATGTTACACACACACACACAATGCTAAATTTCCTACATTTGGTAAGTGCACTTGCTCTTCAGAATTGCATATTGAAACATTAAGAAACAAAGGGCATGAGGCATGCAACCCACTCTACTAATGGCTTAGAAATAAAAGCAATATGCATACAGAGCTGGAGAATGTCACAAAAGGTTCAGAACTGGTGAATCTGGTCAGGAGTTCTTTGTACTAGTAACTTCTCTACACACCTGAAGTTAAATCAGGATAAAAAGTAATAAAAGACAATGAGCATCCAAATACTAAAGTGCTTCTATAAGAAAGATAAACTACAGACTCCTATGTTAACAAAAGACGTTAAACTGTGGTGTGATCTGCCATACAGCAGACCACTGTGTAACCATGAGGACTGTGACAAAGCACAGCCCTGAGATATGTCATCATACTTTTCTGCAGAGAGATAGGCAGGTACAGAGAAGGGGCGGGGGGGAGAGAAACAGTATCTTTTTCTTTTCCCTATGTATAAATCAATGAACGCACAGGAAGAGCTCTGCTTTGGACATGCACTAAGATGTGATCGTCTCCAGATATAGATGGTTTTTCAGATTCTCCTTTCGCTTATCTATATTGTTTTTCCTGTAATAAAGAAAAACCTGTATCTCTATAATAAAGAATAACATTTTAAATTCTGACACAGAAAGGAATTGGTGGTAAAATTGGAATTATTCAATATGGAAAACAGACTATGATAAAGTATGTTAAGTGAAAAAAGCTAAATATAGAATTATAAACACAACAGTAAAAAGCGTAAAAAAAAAGAACGAACGAAAGAACAAAAAACTGGAAACTCATTAAACAAGAATTTGGTGTCGTGACCACAAAAGCAGATGTAAAGCTCTGAGACAGAGGGAGAGCCCTATCTCTGGTCGTAAACAGAATTATTTTAAAATAAACAGCTCTAAGAGTTGTAGCCAAAGACAGGAACAGTATAAAAAGAATTCAAAATGACTATATTCAATACCTTGGAATAACTTAAAATGGAAAAGAATCTGAAAAAGGAGATACATAACTGAACCTCTGTAGTATACCTGGCACTAACACAGCATTAAAAATGAATTATACTTCAATTCTAAAAAGTTTTTCTTTAAAAAAAAGAATGAATTAAAGAATTCAAAACAAAATAACAGTCGATAGGTTAAGAGTAACCAAACAAATAAAGGAAATCAGAAGCTATCTGAGCATGGATGAAAGCTTTAGCAGAAAGAACAGAGTTAATGACATGACTCCAACCAGGATTCTGAGATTAAGGCCTCTGGAAAAGGATACAGAGTCTCCTCAAGTCTATCAAAGACAGGAGACTCAATCTAGATGCCTAATATCCCAGGCCTCCAGCACTTGTCAAGATCTTAGGCTTACAGTGACCTTAACCAGTTGAGGTGAAAACTCTGCAACTTGCCTGGTACAATAAAATATTTTCCTTAGTAAATGTCTTTCAACCCCTATAAAGATTCAGAATCTAATATAGAAATGAAATAAATCAAACATTATTATTGTTAATTTTCAATTACATTTAGGAATAACCTACTCTTACTTAACACTCAGTGTCTATAATATTTAAAATAATCACCATGTTAAAGAACATGATAGTTTTCTGATTCCAATTTAAAATGTGTTTTCATTGAAAATGTTAAGAATTTTATGAAAGTTGTAAATAATACTGTTTAAGATAAATTAAAACAAATACAGAAAACCATAAGTTATCAGGTTTATTCAAGTTATATACGTAAACACTTGGAAATGTTTCACTTCTCATGTCAAGCAAACTGAATCACTTAAAATAAAATCTGAGTATTTTACACAATCTAAAGTGCTAGAAGAAATTTAACGGTTGTAAATGAGGCTGACTAGGATTAAAGTCTGGCCAACCCAAGTTAAATAAACCAATATTAATCAAAGGACCCTGGGCAACTGGAAGAATGATTTGTTAAAATAGATGTTTTAATAAAAAGTAGTAAGTTGTGCAACTATTAATAAACATAAAGGCTTACTCACTTCCAAGCTGTGACTATACAAAGATATAAATATATAAATGTTCACAGCACCATTATCCATCATAGCTTAAAAACGGAACCCAAGCCATCAACTTGTTGTTGGTGGATAAATGGATAAAACAAACTGTGCTATATTCATAAACTGAATACAAAAGAAACAAACTATTGATAAACATAACAGATGAACCTCAAAAAAATTATGCTAAGCGAAAGAAGTACAACACAAAAGGCTACAGATCGTATGGTTCCAAAGATATTAAATTCCAGAAAAGTGAAACCACACTGAGAGAAGGCAGATCTGCAGCTGCCTGGGGCCAGGTCAAGGGAAGGGACTGACTAAAGGGCAGAGGAAACGCCTTAGAATGACATGTCTGGATCACTGTGGCAGTTACACAACTGTACGGGCTTCCCATGTGGCTCAGCAGTAAAGAACCCACCTGCCAACGCAGGAGTCACAGGCGGGGCTAATCCCTGGGTCAGGAAACTCCTCTGGAAAAGGAAATGGCAACCCACTTCAGTATTCTGGCCTGGAAAGATCTCATGGGCAGAGGAACCTGGCAGGCTACAGTCCATAGCGTTGCAAGAGAGTCAGGCAAGACTGAGCGAAAATAACACCACCACAACTATATAGTCAGCAAAAATAATCAAACTGAACACTTAAAATGAGTGAATTCTTGTGCTATACTTCAAAAAAGATTTTAAAAAATTCTGATTAAGACATAAAGGTTTATTAAAAAATAAGTTCTGAAATTTGAAAATAAAGTTTAAAATTAAGTTTCCACCTCAAATAGCCATAAATTGTCTTTTCTCTGTATACAGATTGCCTCCGAAGGCACACAAAAACACAAAAGAATCCTTCACCAACCAAGAGATGTAGGTCATTATCTTACTCTGTCCATCTTTCAAGTTTCCTCTAATATACCATTATTCTTATAATTTTTAATTCATAAAAAATTTCAAGGTCTAACAAACCACTAGAAAGCCTGTAAACTTAACTATTTACTACTGTCTCACCATTTCACTCTCCCAATTAAACCTAGACAGTTCCTCAAAGTGGGCGGTATGGTATACTCCATAAGAGCAATGTATCATCTGGCAGACAGTGAGAGGATAACTCATAAAAAGCAAAGAGGTCAGAATTCCTACATACCAAAACAAATTTCTGAATGTTTCTTTTGCCTAACTGAACTGATAACAGAAATAATAGAAGTCAGAGACTAAGATGTGCAGTTACTGTTAAAATAAGGAAAAAACACTGAGAAATTGTAAACAAAGCAGAAATTTGTTCCTTAAACTTGAAAAGCTGAATGCAAATATCAATACTGTGAGCTAGACACTGGTTTGCCCTAAAAAATTTTTCACATGTAATATAAAATAACAAGCTATAATATGACAGCATAGAAGCTACCTGTATATATAGTATACAGACACATACACTGAAGACTGCATAAGTCCTCAAACACGAGCGTGAGAGTAGAGCCTGTCTCACGCGCCCTGCTCTCACTCCACGTGCTCTCTCCCACGCCATGCCGTCAGGCTGCTCCAAACACCTATTTGCCATCCCAGGTCTGGGACTGCTGCTTGGTCAAGCATCGACCATCATAATATTCAATCCTGCTATTAACAAAAGGAAATGGTTTGCTAATACTCTAGTTTCCCAAAATGTCCCAAAAAAGACAACCATCAAGTATTACAGTTACAGACAAAAACATTATAAAAGACATCAAGTTTTCACCTGCAGTATCAAAAAGTCCAAGAGTATATGGCTCTCCACCAATCATAACTGTGACAGCATAGTTGTCAAAAACCTAAAACAGAAAAATACGACACTGTTAGTGTGCAAGGAGATTGTCAAAACAGGACAGGACAACTCTTAAGCTAAAACAAAGTTTCCTTCCCAAGACTCAATCCTCTCTCAGTCCATATTTCTTCTATGACCAACCATGCCATCTAAGCCCTTTCATGACCTAACAGTTCTTCAAAAAAAAAGTGACAGAAGATGCATTCTGGTATGTCTGCTCCACCCCAGTCGCCCAGATAAAACGCCACAGAAGGGTTAGTGGTATGGCAGGAGTGGAGTCCGCTGGTTATACAAAATGATACAATTCAAATTTGAAACTTTCCAGACAGTAATTTCAAGTTTACCTAAATCTGCAATCTAATTTCTAAGAAATTATTCTTCACAGACCATTTCCTTTTAATACAGAATTAAAATCTCCTAGATCCATGATGATCTTTTTCCTTTCAGGGTTCAAGACAAGAGCAGCCTTGCTGCAAACAGGGCCCATTAGAGAAGAACATACGTTCCCTCAAGTCACGCAAGGAAAGTGTCCACAAAAGGCTGGCAGACCTTCTGTTGGGACTGTATGAATAAAACTCATGTTACTGGGTACAAACCACATGACCTGAGATACTTTCTTTGAACTGAGTATACTTAAGGATAATATATAGGTGTGTGTGTGTGTGTGTGTGTGTGTGTGTGTGTGTACACTTAAGGATACTGAATAGGGTATACTACTTGTAAATAGACTGCAAAACCCATAACAAACAAACTCAGTATATACTAATATATATAATACATACATACATACATATATATATATATATATATATATATATATAGCTTGTACTAAGTAATTTGTAAAAATGGGAGGTAACTAAATGAAAATGAATGAAATCAAAGTTCCAACAAATAAAAAATGAATAAAATGAAAAAAGACCCAACACTAATGCATGGACTCCTCTGAATTATTAACAATTTACAATTAAAAAGCAAGGCTTTCTAGCCAAGAGAAGGATGGTACATTTTAATATCAGCTCTGCTTAACCCTAACCCTCTGATTCATGTTTTAGTAGACTGGATTGTTGGGAGCTTGTTTAAATGTAAAAAAAAAAAAAAAAGAAGAAAGGGCTTGGGAGAGGTGGCAGTTAAAAAGAAACTCAGTTCTTGACAACAAGAACAAGGAAGTAAAAAGAATAAAGTTAAGCTCCTATTTAGGTTATTTTCTTAAGTCATACCTAACCATTTTCCAGAGATCCACACGCAAACACATACATAAAACACCCACAAGCTCTCCTTAAACACCTAGACTCAGAAATCACGTTTGTATGAAAATAACTTTAAATGGAAACTGAAACACAGACATTCTGATAGCCTTCACTCAAGATCCACAAAACTGATCTATCTCTAAAGGTCCCCTAAAAGTCCCTTTCAACCTCAGAACTTCTTTCACTTCCAAATATCTCCAAATGGGCCAACTCAAAAATATTCATGTTTATAAATATGATTTCTCCCCCTCCAAGAAACCCTAGTTTTTCCTCCTATAGCCTGAGCCTACCTCAATCACTATCTGCCCTGGGACATTACAGACTTCTAATTACAATCAAACATAATTACCAAACCTTTAACCTGTCACCACCCTCTTAAAAATACTCTCATCTCTGAAAATTAATCTGAAGTAATCATAGATTTTCTTCCTTTTCACTTCCAAACAATACTAATCCCATATTAATCATACACAGGTGCTCTGTAACCTCTAAAATAGCTCACTTAACAGAGGTGGTTGCTGCCAGGCCAAGCCTAGCTCCTCTCTCACCACAGAATGGACATCTATCTTTAACATAATTATACCACTGGATTGGTCAACCAACCTGGGACAAAACACTGGATCCCCAAACACATTCACAATGAGTGTTACTCTAAATAACTCTCTCTCTCTCTCCAACTTCAAGATCTTTGTTATCCCCATTTTCCTTCTACTCTTCTAAGGAGCTGATACAAAGCATTATGTGCAAGAGAACTCCATAGGCTTCTGTTGATGTTCTCATAAGAAAAACAGGTCTTCTCTACCTCTAAAAGCCAGTCTGGAGCTCCACTACTTCAAGGACAACAGCTCCATAAGCTTTTCTTCTATTCCCTAAGGAGAACACGTAGACACATACTACTTTCCCTGAAGTTACAAGGCCCCCCCAAATTCATCCCAAAGAACTCCAAGCACTGATTAATCATTGGCCAAGATATCAAAAAAAAGTCACCTCATTCCAAGATGTAGTGCATACTTCTCCAAACTGAGACCACCACTCTTTAGAAGCTTGTCTATTGGAGTTTTGCCTCCCAGCACTTCTTGCAAACCCTTCTGTCACCCCTTCTGACTTTCCACTGATTTTTCAGCTGTTTAATTTTAAAGTGTACATAATTTACCCATGAGAAGTCAAGATCTTTAAAAACAGGAAACAAAGGCAGACAACAGAAAAATTTCAGTACACACAGAGAAAGTTTTCAAAAGGATATCAAATTATAATACATTTCACTAACAGATGGAAGCTTTATACTTACAGTCGGTACATACTCAGATGGAAATTTGTTTGTTGTGTAGGATATCAGGAGACACGTTTTACCAACGGCACCATCACCCACAACAACGCACTTAATTGTCTGCATCGCTGAAACAGTTTTGTATCCACTTTAAATATTTCAAATTTGATGATGACCTACAAAAAGATTAAAAATACTTCTCTTAATTATTTGTTTTTCTTCAATTAGCAACAGACTCACACATTCACAGCAATAACAGAAGCAGTACCTCAACTACCACAGCTAGGAGAACCAAAAAAGAGAAACAGTGATTTGCAAATAAGAGTCAATTTTCTTAAGCTTCTGATCCTTGGTTGTTTTTGACTTAAGTGTTTTTCTTAAAAAATCAAAAGGAACATAAACAGCAGCACAGTTCTTTTTATAATGAAAGAGAAGAGGCTATTTCAGAATGAATCCCAGTTAGTATGTCAAGTGTTATTTTGTGCAACTTTTCCTTCAGTTGTATGTGCCCCCACACGCGTGTATACACATATGTGTACTAGACTGCAAACAAAGGCCACTGCTTCAAAGAATGCTCCCTTTACCCCAGCTAAAATGGTTACTCAGGCCATAACCAACAAGCAGCAGAGTGCAATCACCTCCCCCACCCAATAGACGGGCATGAAGAGCTGGACAAAGATCACCGTGATCCCTGGTCTCAGTGGCTGCTTCAGCACCAAGGTGTCAAGCTACTAATTCAATATTTATGGCATGAAGAGATCAAAATCTAGACTTTTAAAATGAAAATGATCACTCTAAAACATTCTAACTTATAAGCAGATACAATTGCTTTAGCTTCTTTTACTATAGTCCTCCATTCTAAGATGCTATTGATTACAAATACACCAAAGATTTATTAATTTTATCAATTCTGAGATGCTTGTTTTTATACTTAAGCGTTTCTAAAATCAGAACATATCTTTACCAAAAGTTCCTTACACTTGTTACCAGCTATTTTACCGCAATATGTTGACACCTATGAAACTGGGATGTATGATATCTTAGTGTCACTGGAAAATCTTAAGTTTTTCTGAAAGAATAAAAAACACCACTACCTATATATCTATTTTTAAGATTAAATTCTTTTTCTTATAATTCTGAAGGGATTACAATTTCTTGTTAGCTAGAGATGCCACCTTATTAACATAAAAATGTCAACAGCATTAGAAGCCAGGTCTATATGCTCCTATAGTAACCTCCGCAACTCTTAACTTAGGCCTGTTAACATCTCTGTGTATATATATGAGGAATGGGTAACACACAGGAAATATACCTTCTTCCATTCTTCATCAAAATCATCTTGACTGCATTTCTCTTTATTTAACCTCCTTCTACCTTTCTCTTTTCCCTGTAATGCACTAGAGAACAATGCACTAGCATACTCATACTAGGTTAAGGATCTTGACCCCTAAACTAAATCAAATTATTTATCAAAATAATCACACTACACCAAGTACTAAATTAATTCTAGAGAATTATTCGAGAAGAATGTCTTCTACTGATTAATAAAAGCGAGAAGAGAAAACAGGAATAGCTGTCTTCTCCTGGTTCCTCAATCCACCTCTGAAAAACAGGATAGTGCTTAGTCGCTCAATCTTGTCTGACTCTTTCACAACCCCATGGACTGTAGCCCACCAGGCTCCTCCATCCATGGGGATTCTCCAGGCAAGAACACTGGAGTGAGTTGCCATGTTCTCCTCCAGGGGATCTTCCCAACCGAGGGATCAAACCGGGGTCTACCTGCATGGCAAGCAGATTCTTTACCAGCTGAGCTACGAAGGACTGCTAAAAAACAAGGTCTTCTGTAAAATTTATTTCCAATTCAGAGTGAAGAAAAAAAAGGTAAGCAGAGACTTGTGATCATCCTACAGAATTATCTTCCCCAAAATAAATTATGCCTAAAAAATAAATTTCAAGTTCAGTTCTTGCATCTTCCATGTCTCATGACCATTATGGGTAATTTCATTTTACATAAGAGTTTAATCATAAACACTGGCCAGAAAGTAAGGTTTGAGCAGGGTAGCAGAGACTACTAGCAATTGCTCCTCTCTTCTTTAGTAAAAGAATTTTACTGGCACATATGGCTCCTAGTAAAGACATTTCCTAAATTCTTGTGCAGTTAGATGTGACCAAGTTCAAGCAAATGGGGATGGAAACAAAGCATGTAATTTTCAAGACCAGCCTTAAAAACAAGGGAAAGAGTTTCTCCTGTCCCACCTGGCCTGTAGGCTAGAATACATCATAACAGATGCGAAAGCAGTCACAGTGAACCAAAGACAGAAATTATAGCTAAGGATGAGTAACACAATAGGAGAGGCCAGCCCTGCATTGCCTTCCAGGACTTTTACAGGAGAAAGAAACTTTGCCGTCCTTAAGTCCCTAGTATTTTGGACTTCTCAGTTATAACAGCAGAACTGAAATCCTAATCTCTGTATTTCACAGACTCTAAGACAACGATTTTTAAAATACATCCTAAATTTAGAGGTGTTAAGTGTAGAAGATAGTCCTACAATTAATAAAATGATGGTAATATTTGGATTTATCGAGTAACTTTATAGTAAACTTGACGACCTTTGAACTTTGTCTTAAAAACACCTAAGATAAATACTATTGTTAATATAAATGCTATTGTTAAATTTTAACTGTGGTTAAAACTGTCATCCTTAAATATGATGATCCTAATCTTCAGTCTACCTACGGTATTCACTTTTAAGACTTATAACTCATACAACCTAGCAAATACAAAATCATCAGGCCATTTCTAAACTTGAACCTTCTCGTAAAGGAAGAGATAACATTTTTTAAAATTTCACTAAAATTCTCTAGGAAATAAAGAAGAAGTTTAAAACAAAAGGTTTCCATGACTAAAGACACAAATACCACTGCCACATGGCTAAGTCACAAACTGTAACAAGCTATGATGGAGAATGTTAAAGCTGGCCTACAACATTCCAATGAAAAGAGAAGCTATTAATAAATGTATTAAAAGAGAAACATTTATATCTAATTCAAGTTGAACTCCTTTTTTTTTAATTATAGGTATATTAGGAAATTTATCAAAATGAACTGTCTTCAGGACAGACATTTCACAAAGAACAGATTTAGGATACTGGTTCTTTATATTCTGCATGCATGCTAAGTCACTTCAGTCATGTCTGACTCTTTACAACCCTATGGACTGCAGCCCGCCAGGCTCCTCTCTCCATGGGATTCTCCAGGCAAGGATACTGGTGAGGGTTGCCACTTCCTACTCCAGGGGATCTTCCCAACCCAGGGATCGAACCAATGTCTCTTATGTCTCCTGCACTAGCAGGCAGCTTCTTTACCACTAGCACCATCTGGGAAGCCTTTTTGTATGGTGAAAACCTAAATTGTGGTACCTCTGTCTCTGATACCATTAAGTATAAGAAAATGCTAAAAATGCCCACCAGGGAACATAACTGTTGAGCAAAACATACAACACAAGTTGTATTAGAGTAAGTCTACAATGTAAGTTTAGAAACAAGGTAACAATATTTCAAATTGGCTAAGTAGGCTTCTCCTCTGAATATAATTTTTAAAAATATCTCTGCATTGTTAAGAACAAAATCACTATCTGAGGAAGATCTTTAAGCTTTTCTGTTGAAAGATAATGGAGACTGAACTCATGTGAGATAAATGGGATCACAGTTTGGCCAGATCACTAAACATTACTACTTTGAGAACTTGTAGAAGTCTGGATCTTTTTTGAGCAGGAAAAACAGCCCCCAAACCAATCAGGCGCTACTTTTGCATCCTGCTTAGTAAGCTGGAAAGAATTTCCAAGCTACATAAACCTAATACATAACATGATGATAATTTTCCTAACTCTGAAATCAGGAAAACCTTCGGTTTTAATCTCTGCTCAGCACTTACTAGTGACCTGGGCAAATTTCTTAAATCTCTTTTTGTTTCAATTTTCTCATTTAAAAACAGAACTAATTTAAACCAACACCTTGCAAAGTTGTAAAGATTAAGTAATATTAAATAACCTGGCTCCTAGCACATACTCAATATAAGTGAATTCCTCTACCAAGTAGAGGAATCAGTTAAATCAATCCCATCACACCTGTTTTCATCCAAAGGCGCAAAACTAGCACTGCACTTTCTTCTCTCTTTAGTAGACTGTTACCTAATCAAAACTTTTCACACTTTACCCAAAAGAGGCACATCAAAAACAGGCTAAAATAAACTGATTATATTTGCTATTATTTATTAATAGCGAATGACACACAAAAAAAACAAGAAATCCACCCAAATATTTCTTCTTCTCCTGAAGACTCCCATATTATTTCTTTCTGAATTTCCTGCACTTTTCTCTATTTACAGAGCAGTCCTTAAAACCAAGTTACTTAACAGGTGTTAACAATATATTTTAGGGAGCTTCCCTGGTGATCCAACGGCTAACAATCCATACTTCAAGTGCAGGGGGCCTGGGTTTGATCCCTGGTCGAGGAACTAGATCCTACATGCCACAACGAAAGATCAAACAATCCCACATGCCACAGGCAAGGCCTGGCACAGTCAAATAAATAAATATATATTTTTTAATGCAGCTTTAGAACAAAACAATATAATTTTGGTATGGGATCAGACCTAGTCAGGTTTCCCTGCTGGCTCAGATGGTGAAGAATCTGCCTGCAATACAGCAGACCTGGGTTCCACTCCTGGGTTGGGAAGATCCCCTGGGATTACAAATCATCACTGCCCACATGCAAACTGATGAAAATCTGACAACTATTCATCTAAAACAATAAAACAGCCAGTTATTTTACCTTCTCCCTGCTGGAGATACAAAAGTAATTTCCAGGTGGACAATTAAAATCTAGTGGTAGGGTGTGAGAGCTCCCCCTTCTGGTCACCTGTTGTTGTGCTCAGTTCAGTTCAGTCGCTCAGCCGTGTCAGACTGTGACCTCACGGACTGCAAGCCAGGCCTCCTTGTCCATCACCAACTCCCAGAGTTTACTCAAACTCATGTCGATTGAGTCAGTGATGCCATTCAACCATCTCATCCTCTGTAATCCCCTCCTCCTCCTGCCTACACTCTTTCCCAGCATCAAGGTCTTTTCAAATGAGTGAGTTCTTCCCATCAGGTGGCCAAAGTATTGGAGTTTCAGCT